CCAAAGGCCACTAACCCATATTCGTACTACTAGGCCTCTCTGCGGCTACTCATTCACTCCCTTGTTATCTCTCACCTTAATTATTGCAAACCCCTTCTCATAGGCCTACCTATCCATAGGTTATCTCTTCTTCAGCCTATCATAAATGCTGCTGTCAGACTCATCTACATTTAGGTTCACATCATTGTGTTCTGCGTGTAGGCTGCCCATTTATGTTGTTTATGTCAGTGAGTTTCCTTATACGCAGAAACGCAGGAAAAGCAGTCACTGACCCTTTTTTTAAATGGTGCCATACCGAGCTGCATAGTACTGAGGCACCATGCAGTTTGGCACTTGCAAAAATTCGCCTTGTTTGCCGGAGCAGAGGTGCCTTTAAGAATCAAACATGTGATTCGGACCTCTGCTGGAAGGAAATTTTACTGACTGGAACTTTGTGAATTTTAATTCAATACCCCTGATATAGAGCAAGCACACCACATAACCAAACTGCTTTAGCAATAAGTTTGTTTTAGGCATTATACAGGACATACAATCACCCAGCAGGTACAGATAACCAAGTATGTCATCTAAAATAAAGCATAATATAACAAAGATGTACATTCCATTATTGAAAAACCGCAAAGAATATGCATTCATGTAGGTGCAATGAGCTACACTTAAAACATAAGAGCTGATGTTCCAAAATACATCCCGAAATACAGTACCCAGAATAGATGTAAAAAAAAAGCTGAGCCAGACCATGGTGAAAAGAGAGAGGAGGAAGAAAAAAAAAACAATGTTTCAGGGATCCAAAAAAACCCTTTCTCAAGAACCTCAAGGACCATACTCTACTGGTTTTTATTTTGGATAGGATAGGGTTGGAAAATCTGTGAGGTTCTTATTGTTTGGAACCACTGAGGAGATTTATCCTCACTCACTCTTCCTTTAACACATAGGCAAAAAGTGAGGGGAAAGGTTCTTCAATAGAGTACATCTTTTTCTTTTAAGGCCTCATTCATACAGGCATACTGATCCATAGACATGTGTGAAAGGCCAACTTTACCCATATAGGATACACAGGTCCATATAGTGGTGTATTTAGGTTTTGTGCTGCCCTAGGCAACACAAAAATTGTCTGCCCCCACGGACACCGACCAATACCACTCCCACTTCCCCAGAAAGAGAAGTGCCTGACATTGATGGCACTGACCAACAACACCCCTGCTCCCCACCCGGGAGAGCCTTCCACTACCCCCCCCCCCCCAGCGATAGAGAAAAAGACGCTCATCTTCACAGCTCCGGACATTCCTGGGAACGAGTCAGGCTCTACATACACCATCAAGCAGCTGCAGCCTTACTCAGATACCACCGGGTTCCCATGGCATGTGTGCTCCTTCTTTCATCCCTTCTTCTGGGGGGAGGTCCTGCCCCCCTGAAAACTGCCACCCTAGGCATGCGCCTTGTTTGCCTTGTGGTAAATACGCCCCTGCTTGTCCATGCAACTGCATACAGGCAGCCTGTTCAAATCAATGACAGACGGTTGCATGGATCTATCAGAACATCCCTGACTGTACATCCATGTAGGACTGATGCATTGATCAGAACAAACAGACTGTTTCCGTTCGTTGCATTGGTACCACATGGATGTACCGGGGATACTTTCCGAGATCTGTGTAGGTCGATTATGCGACACGTATGTCATTGATTTGAGAAGGTTGATTACATGCGGATGCACAGAACACTTGTGCATCCTGCGTGGCTGAAGATGGCCTTTCGCATGGGGGTATGGAGGTATGCACCCGTGTGAAGGAGACCTAAGAGTATATATGAAGATGCTAGAAGTACGAGACCCACAATTTAATGTTTCCACATGGCAAGTTAGTCGTTATTTATTACCCAGCTAAACCTGACATCTCAGATTAAACATTATACTTTTTCATCAGTTATTAAAAAGCAGATTCATATTCACATCATGCCATCAAACACAAACAAGTAGTAGTTTATTACTGATTAGCTGTTGGTTTCAAACAAAAAAAGGTTCAATCACCAGGAGAAAAACAGTTATAAACCTACTAAAGTTTCCCTTTAAAAAGCAGATTATATTTTTTATTAACTAAAATCATGTCACTGACAAGATATATTCCTTGATGACATACATCTGACAACATAAAAGCTGTTGTCTCACCTGAGGACAGGTGTAATGTCCTCCGTGTTGAAGATCACAGGTCAGACCCCTGTGACCTGGTGCTGGAGGGAGTGACATTGGGTGACAAATCGATAGAGAGGGAGGGTGGAAGAAAAAAAAAAACCTTTCAAATGTGAGCCAAGCTGCACATTTACAGAGACCGGGTAAAGGTTCACAGTTTGTCATCCCCTAGTATCTAGACAAAGGGTTAATTGAGATGCAAGGGACAATTAGAGGTATCTCCTATACTCTGTTGTGTGCGGCACAGCGGTCAGCATCTGTCAGGATGTCCTCGCATTCAACTATACCTCCATCCCCAGCCCTCCTGCAGCCTTTACAGGTGCCCCAACGTCTAATGTTGGGCCCTGGGCCCTCCAATGTACCTCCCCGGATACAGACAGCTGGGGGTCTGCATGTCATTGGTCATATGCACCCTGAATCTTTCCAGGTAAGTCTGTAACCTAATAAGGGTTTCCCCTGAAATAAAAAAAATATTGGGGAAATATAAATATATAACACTATAAATGTATTTTGCACATAATTAATTGCATAAATTGAAACTAGGTTTGTATTTATTTAAACATTTGCTTTTACTGTAAATTATATTCTATTATCTGGAAAGAATCACAGTGCTGTATACAGATTGAAGCAACGCATAAACAACTATTAACATTAATTTATTTAATTCATGATGCCACAGCAAAGTAAAAAGTTCATCTGTTTATATAAATCTTTGAAACTTTTCTCAGAAAGCTGTGTACTTATGAACTGCTGCATATTCCAGCACCTTTTACTTGTGGACAGATCCATCAAGATGTTATTAATATGCTCAGTCTTGTATATACTAATATCATATTTATCCTCATTATTATAAATCATGAAATCACCTACAGTATTTAATGGATGGGGGTCTGCTGATATATAAAGTGTGACTATGGGCAAAATCTAAAATGACACATCCCAGTACACTCTATCACTAGTGTTAACACAGCAGTTTTTGTTTTTCTGAGTCCATCTGCAACTTAGTTTTATTTTGTTGTTGATCCAACCAGTAGATCCATTTTTTCCACTTCCTGTAATAATGTGACAATGCTGTCCATTATGTAGTGAAATCACACAGCAGTGTTGTCTCCTTGTGGACAGGGTAACCTTAGAAGAACTTGGAGCTTTAACTGGACTTTAAGCCGGGGTTCACACTGGTGCCACTTGTCATGAGGTTTGACAGTTCCAAATGCATGACAAATTGCACCCTATTTGTGCCTATGGAACTGTTCAAAATGGTGAAACTCCGACTTTAGGGTTTACTTTAAGGTTCCTGGACTATTTTTTTTGCGATTTCATGTGTGACTTGAATAGACATCTGTTCATGAAATCGCAAAGATGTCAGGCAAGTTGCACATGAAATCGCACTGACCTGCCACCTTGAAATCGCGTTACATCAAGCAAAGTAGCACAATTTCAAAGTCGCATTCAATGTGAACCAGGGCTAAAAGATCATTTATAGGCCGACTCCAGCAAACACTTTTTACAACATTTTGTTTCTGTTGGAAAAAAGGTTCAAATTGGTGTAACTCCGACTTTACGGTTTACTTTAAGGTTCCTGGATAATTTTTTTTGCGATTTCATGTGTGACTTGAATAGACATCTGTTCATGAAATCACACAGATGTCAGGCTAGTCGCACATGAAATCACACTGACCTGCCGCCTTGAAATCATGCTACATCAAGCAAAGTAGCTCGATTTCAAAGTCGCATTCAATGTGAACCAGGGCTAAAAGATCATTTATAGGACTACTTCAGCAAACACGTTTTACGACATTTTATTTCTGTTGGAAAAAAGGTTTAAATTGGTTCAACTCTGACTTTACGGTTTACTTTAAGGTTCCTGGACTATTTTTTTGCGATTTCATGTGTGACTTGAATAGACATCTGTTCATGAAATCGCACATATGTCAGGCAAGTCGCACATGAAATCACACTCACCTGCCGCCTTGAAATCGCACTACATCAAGCGAAGTAGCGCAATTTCAAAGTCGCATTTAATGTGAACCAGGGCTAAAAGATCATTTATAGGACTACTTCAGCAAACACTTTTTACAACATTTTGTTTCTGTTGGAAAAAAGGTTTACACTGTAGAAATATAAGTTGACTGTTGAAAGCTCCCTGTCATTGTTATATGGTTTGTCCCAGCCTCTGTATAAGACACCTATGCTAACCTTTATTGGTCTATTAAAAGGTGTGGGAAAACAGGTAACAAAGGTAATAGGTAACAAAACTATGTAAGGAAAAATCACATTGTTGTATTAATGCCATTGACAGGCTGCGTCATTTATGTAACATCATTTTGGCCACAGTTCCATTTTAAAATATAAATTCACCTCTGTTAAAAAATAATAATAAAATGCACATCTTTTTGCAGGTAAAAAATGTGCATTTATTTATTTTTTTCACTAGGAGCCTAGAAAGCATTGCATCTGTGCATCTCCTGCAAACCTGTCCTTATATCTGTGTGCTGGTACCTCATACGGGTAGGCAGATATACACAGACAGGAAGAGAGAATGAACTACCACAGCACTCAACAGCACCATGGTAGTTCATTGAGAACTACAGTCCAAAAGCCGCAAAGGCTGTTGGGATTTGTAGTTTTTCATTCACAGAATTCTGTGAATGAATGACGCGGCCGGGTAAGCAGAGCATCGAATGGTCGCGTCCTTTTTGAATTGTGACAGCAGACATGAGGAGAAGATCCCCGATCTGCTAACACAGCGGGGACTTGGGGGAAATGAGGGCATGTTACATGTTACACCATGAATATGGGCGTAACATACAATCAGGGGCGGACTGACCATTTGGAAACTCGGGCACTGCCCAAGGGCCCGGGATCAGTAGGGGACACATGAGATGCCCCTGGTACCTTTTTCATAGGCTTTTTTTGAGTTTGGGCAAGGACACAGGGGCCCCATGATCCCCTATTGCCCAGGGGCCCCATGAGTTGTCAGTCCGCCCCTGCATACAATATGTTAAAAATTGTGAACTTATCCTTTAAACTCTAATCATAAATGTGAGAGGGAGACTTGCTGAAAGTATACCCGACTTATGAAGACTACCACTGTTGATATCCTTCTGAAAATGCTAGATGCTTGGCTGTTATGCTGACCCTCTGTTTTCAGTATTGTCCAGGTTACTGACAGGGAACAAGTATGCAGATCAGAAAAGTCAGAGAAAAGTCGGATTTCCTTATCTAACTCACAATATTGAAGAATGAAGGTCAGCATGACAGTCAGACACTTCAGTTTTAGATAGATGAGTCAGCAATTATTATTTTCCTTTAAAAACAATGCAAAAAGCAAAAATACGAAGTAATCCCTATCTTCCCACCACAATCCAGCGCTGAGCAGTAAACAGTAAACAAAGTGAAAACTAACCACTTGCCCTACAGAGGATTTACCCCCAGACCAGGCCATTTTTTTTGTACATTACTTTAACGGTCATACAACACTGCACCCAAATTCAATTTATGTCCTTTTTTCCCACAAATGGACCTTTCTTTTGGTAGTATTTGATACCTGTGCGTTTTTAATTTTTTGCGCTATAAACAAAAAATTACCAACAATTTTGAGAAAAAAAAACAATATTTTTTACTTTTTCCTATTAAACATGTCCAGTAAAAACATTTAAAAAAAAATAATTTTGTCATAAATTTCAGCCAAAATGTATTCTGCTACATGTCTTTGCTAAAAAAAAATCCTAAAACATGTAAATTAATTGCTTAACGTGAAAGTTATAGCGTCTACAAATGGTGGTATATATACTGGAAGTTTTTTTTTATATTAGTAATGGTGGTGATCAGCGACTTATAGCGGGAGTGCGGCGGGCATTCTGACACTGGAGGGGAACTGACTAACTGCCACTGACATCCCCAGTGACACTAATACAGTGATCAGTGCTAATAAAAAGCACTGACACTGTACTAATGGCACTGGGCAGGAAGGGGTTAACATTTTGGGCAATCAAAGGGTTAACTGTGTGCTGTGTGTGTGTTTCACTGTGTCAGCACATTACGTTCTATGCAGAGCAATACAAAGCAATGTGCAGGAGATGACAGGGGAGAGATATGTATTGTTTACATACTGTACAGGTCTCCCCCGTCAGTGATAATCGGCGATCACCGGGTGCCGGCTGGGAATCGCCGGCCGGGACCTGGTGATCTATAGCAGAGGCCGCCAATGCCGGCGTGGGTAGGGCGCATGCCCCCTACCCGGAACTGCATAATCAAGTATATACATACGTGATTTTGCACCGCCCTGTAGCAGTATTTCTGCTATAGGGCAGCAGGAAAGCATCTAACTTATTTGTTGGTTTATGTCGCTGAGCACCCCAGTTCCTTATCTTGTATTACAAATTCTGGTCGGTTAAATTAAAATAAGCCATAAACATGCAAATCTACAATATGGAAATATTGTGCTGCCTATGTCCACAATGTTTTATACAATATTCAAGGATCTCTTATAAATAGGGTTAAAGATGAAAGATAAGTAGAAAGTGGTATAGGGGGAACATTTTGTATCATAAAATTAAAGTGGATTTTGTACTACATGCAAGGTCCATATTTTAAGTTCCCTACACTTCCCCCTAGCTAAAAACCAGAAAACTCATTTAAAAACACCTGTAGGTAAAAAAAAAGATTTTATACTCACCTTTCCTTTGGCTTCTATGGTGAATAGGGTGATGTCATCCTCCTGCTGTCAAGATCCCAGGGATGGTGAAACCAGTGTGAGAGCATTTTCTCTACAAGATCTCACCAGAAGGAGGATGATGTTACCTCACCCTAACACCACAGACAGAAGCAGAGGAAAAGGTAAGTATATTATTTAAAATCCCCCCTCCCATCCCGCATACACACTGCATTTTAGAGAGGGGCATTTTGAATGCAAGATCAGCTTTTAGCAAAGGCCAGAATAGCTTTATTTGAAAAAAAACAGTTTGAAATTTGTCTGTAGACTGCCACACCAATAACTGGCCACACATTTCAGAGGGCAATTATTGACTACTATCTGTTGAAAACCAAGTTTACAACTGATTAGTTTTACACGGAGCATGCCGGAAAATGCAAAATATGAATAACATAGTGGCTAAGTAGATATGACTCTCCTTGCAGAACTAATACCTAGTTTAAAATTGCAACGAGGTCGCAGTCCAGGTTTTTTATGTTTGCCCAGGTTGTTTAAGTTTTCTCGGGGTTCCCCCCTTAAAAACCAGAAACATACTTGTAGGTTAAAAGGTATCTTAATATTGTGCCCTTGATGTGTTTTTGATTGTGGTAGGAATATTAGATTGCAAGCTTCTTTAGAAGAAGGGGTATAAACGGTTCTGTAGACCCTACAAGTGGTCTCAGTGGATGGTTCTGTTGACATTAAAAGTGTTGTGAGTAGTTCCAGGAGTGCAACGTATTGTGTAGATGGTTAAGTGGGCTTGATAAGTTGTGCAAGTAGATCTGTAAACTATACAAGTGGTGCAAATGTTTCTGTGGGCTCTACAAGTGGTGTGAATGGTTCTGTAAACTCTGCAAGGGGGGTGAATAATTCTGTGGAATCAGTTGTTGTGTATGTGATTTTGTGAGCTTCTATAAAGCATTTCATTATGCATAAGAACAATATGTGAACATGTATGTGAAATAAACATAAATAAAGAGATGAGTATCATGTGTGAAGAGGTTTCATATCCAATTATAAAACTAATAATAATTAGCCATAATTGAAGTGATGGTAAGCTGGACTTATGATTGCCTTTAGGTGAATTTAAAGTGATTCGCCATCTAGCAGCCTTTACTATATTCAGATACAGTGCTTGATTGTGAGATTAGTGTACAAACTGCAGAGAAATACACATAGCTAAAAGTGCTCATAGATATGAGATGAAAGTTGCCAAATTAGGACTAGTTGTTCAGATATGGAGAAAATCCTCATGTCTATGAGCACCAGCAGACTGCAGAAGGCACTTGTAGCTCACAATTCATGGAGTAACAAGCTATTGGCTTGTTGAATATCTTGGGATGTTTTCTATTATTTCTCACAAAGGTAAGACCAAAGCTGATGGCATCTGGCTACTCGTACCCTTGGATTATCTGAACATGTATAATGTGGGGCACTGGCTTGCAGGATTGTGAACAGTGTATATGTGTTACCTAGGTTTCTCAAATAAACATGGTGAGGGGTTCCAGGGTTTATGACTGATGTGGAGAAAACAAACTTTTTGCTTCCTCAGAATTGTACTAAGTTACTATCTGCATCCTAGAGCCTAGAGGCTTTGTAGAGTTTTGGGTGAGAGAAAGCCTCCAGTCCTAGGTCCATCACTTGCCTGTTAGCCAGACCTCATTAGTCTCAGCAGTCCACAGGCCTTGATATATTTGAATTAATTGAAGCTTAGGGGTCTCTTTCTTTCTCTCTAGGTCTCTTGGTAGTATTAGCCTGCTCCTGGGTAAAAAGGCTGAGTGTTGATAGAACACTAAAGAAGTACATGCAATGCCTGTTTGTATTGGGGAACCCAACAGGGAGCACTCTGTTAATCATGAACTAATCTAAGTTTAGTTAGTCGCTTAGACAAGCAGATGTTTTGTTTGTTTTAAGCTATGGCCTGGTTGTAGAAATCTCTTCTGCAGTCAAACTGTGTTTGTTTGCTGCCTTGCTGAATAAAATGCAGGACAAAGTTTGTTGGACTGTTCCTAGGCATCCCTGTATCATGCATAGTTTATCACTTCCACTACCAGTTAAGCCTGTCCCCTTTACAATATTCATAGTCAGTCCTTTGAAAGAAAGATCTCTAAATTGTACCTGCATATCAGCCTGCCTATGATATCTATGGCCGGTTTATAGTTACATAGTTAGTCTGGCTGAAAAAAGACAAAAGTCCATCCAGTTCAATCATAACAAAAAAAAGTTATAATCCTACATCCACAGTTGATCCAGAGGAAGGCAAAAAACCCAGCAAAGCATGACCCAATTTGTTGCTGCAGGGGGGAAAAACTCCTTCCTGATCCCCCAAGAGGCAATTGGATATTCCCTGGATCAACTTTACCTATAAATGTTAGTATCCAGTTATATTCTGTGTATCCAAAAAAGAATCCAGGCCTTTTTACAGCAATCCACTGAGCTGGCCAGAACCAACTCTTGATGGAGTCTATTCCACATTTTCACCTCTCTTATTGTGAAGAAACCTTTCCGTGTTTGGAGATTACATTTCTTTTCCTCCAGACGTAAAGAGTGTTCCCTCGTCCTTTGTGATGACCTCAGGGTGAATAACTCTACACCGAGTTCACTATATGAACCACTGATGTATTTATACACGTTGATCATATCCCCCCTTAATCTCCTCTTCTCAAGAGAGAATAAATTCAGTTCCTCTAATCTTCCCTCATAGCGGAGCTCCTCCATGCCTCCTATCAGTTTGGATGCCCTTCTCTGTACTTTCTCCAGTTCCCCAATGTTCTTGTTGTGAATTGGTTATTTTGTAAAGGGCCTACATGATCGCTTGGGTTTAAACAATAAGAACCAGTGATAGTTGTGCTTAAAAATAAGGGTCCCAACACTGAACCCTGGGATACACCTCTGACAATCCTAGACCATTCAGAGTATGAATCATTAACCACTACTCTATGAATACAATATTTTAGCCAGTTTTCCATCCATTTACATACAGATTTTTCCAAGCCTGTAGACACTACCTTACACATTAGCTGTGTGGGGAACTTTGTCAAACGCTTTTGCAAAATCCAAGTATACCACGTCCACCGCCATCCCTCTGTCCAAGGTTTTGCTCACCCCCTCATAAAAAGAAATCAGATTTGTTTGACAACTTCTGTCTTTCATGAATCCATGCTGTCTGTTGCTTAAAATATTTTTTTCCAGCAAGGACTTATCTATGTGGTCTTTTATTAAACTCTCCAGTATCTTCCCAACTATAGAAGTTAAACTAACAGGTCTGTAATTACTTGG